AGGAATGGGTATTGTGATGGGGGACACTGGAAGGTGTCCAACCTATTTACGTCACACTTTTTGTCAGGCAGTGAAGGCTATTGATGAAACAGGAACAACCTTGCAACAATTTTGGAAGGATCATAACATCTAAAAGGCCATAAAAAACCATCAACTTTGCTTGGCATGAGGTTTCGGCTGTCACAGTTTGTTCATGAAGTTCATGGACTTGAGAAGATGGGTAAGGAGGCCAAAGAGTTCAACAACTTAGTGACCCTTAGCACGAAGCTGGAGCTAGACCTGCAAGAGGACGACTTCATTGAGCTCTTTGCTGTGCAACATGAGGAGCTTACTAATGAGGACCTGATGGAATTAGAGGCCCAGCGAAAAGACGAAGAGAGCCAGCCAAAGGGGGAAGATAGCAGTCACAGCCAATAACAGAAAACCTAGAATAGGGAGAAGTAGACTACATAGAATGAACTAAACATTTTGCATATGCATGCTTTACATTTATAAGATTGTCATCTAACTGTCCTGCTGTGTAATGCTGAGCAGTGTGGCTGGAGAATGAGGGGGCGTGATTCATGTTGAAGTGGGCGAGTACACATTCAGACCCCATGTACACGGGACACTTCTGAACGATCGAAACGACTGCTGGAAAGCGTAGGTTAAAAAAACGTGTGTTTAGCCGCGTGTGCATAACGTTTTTTAAAGATAAGCACAGGAGAATCTCCCAAATTCCCAGAATGCACTGAAAAAAATTATAAATAACTATTTCAGACTGTTTCAGAGAAATACAGAGGAGTATAAGCAGAGACAGCAGTATGTGTTGTAATTAGCTTAGGTGTGAGTTGCTCATTAACATTTCTTTTGTTTCCAAGGGTGGGAAAGGTGTCTGGTGGAGTCATGATGAAGGTCAATTGGCAGGGGATCTTCATGAGAAATTTGAAGTGTGAATGGTCATTAACATATCATTGTGTTTCCAAGGGTGGGAGAGGTCTGAGGTGTGAACTGGTCATTGCAAGCTTGGTAGGAAAATCCTGTGTTCAGCGTTTTGTCCATCGGAGTACCTTGAAAACGTTTTGCATGCATTTTTCATGACGAAAAAAAGGCTCTGGACAGCATCTGGAAGAGTTTAAAAAAATTTCAAACAAACGCTAATAAATGCGATTTGCCGTGTTTACAAGCGTTTTGCATTTGAAACACTGATAAAATTGACTGCTGAACGCAAGTTTTCTGCATTCAAAAAAACGACTGTAAATGACTATAAACGAAGATGTGTACATGGACACATAGGAAAACATTAGGGTTAGTTCAGGGGCTGCTGAAAAAAAAAAGCTGAACAGCCCCTAAACGTGACGACTTTCTGAACTTCAAACCAAGCATCAGAGTGAGGAAGAAAGGGGATTTAGTCACTTGCCTACTGGGCGCTTTTACCCCCTTCCTGCTCAGGCCAATTTTCAGCTTTCAGTGCTGTCACATTTTGAATGGCAATTGCGCAGGCATGCAACACTGTACCCATATGAAATTTTTATAATTTTTTTCATACAAATAGATCTTTCTTTTGGTGGTATTTAACCACCACTGTTTTTTTTTATTTTTATTATATAAAATGAAAAAAAAAAAAGACTGAAAATTGAGGAAACGATAATATTTTCTATTTTTTGTTATAAAACATATCAAATAAAAAAAAAATCTAATTTCTTCATAAATTTAGGCCAAAATGTACTCTGCTACATGTCTTTGATAAAAAATATCCCAAGTGTATAATATTTAGCCTGTAGGAAAGTTATAGCGTTTTTTGCACTATAAACGAAAAAAAAAAAAGACTGAAAATTTTGAAAAAAAAAGTTTTTCTTTGTTTCGATTATAAACATTTTGCAAACAGGTAGTTTTTCTCCGTCACTGAAGTGCATTTATGAGGCTGTACCGATAGGCAGCACTGGTGGGCATTGATAATGCTGTACGGATATATGGCACCGATAGGTGGCACTGATGGGCACAGATTGGTAGAACTGACAGCCACTTTTGGGGCTCCGCTGATAATCAGGGCAGATGAATCCTTTCACAGTTGCTGGTTATCGACAGTACTTTCCTCACACTGCAACAGCGTGAGAAAAGTGCTGCCGATAACCGGCAAATGCATTTACTTGGTGAGCAGCTGTGATTGGACACAGCTGATCACAAAGTAAAAGGCTGCTGTGGTTGACCCTTTACCGTGTCATGTGATCAGCTGTGTCCGAAGGACACAGCGTTCACAGACAGTGCCAGGTGTGCAACGCTGGAAGCACGTTCTGGGAGGACGTCATATGACACCCTCCCAGAACTGGACGACCACGCTGTAGCTGTCATCTGGCTAAAGCGCGGTCAGGAAGTGGCTAAGTGACTTTAAACGTGGCATGGTTGTTGGTGCCAGACGGGCTGGTCTGGGTATTTCAAAAACTGCTGATCTACTAGGATTTCCATGCACAAACATCTCTAGGGTTTACAGAAAATGGTCCAAAAAAGAAAATATCGAGTGAGCGGCGGTTGTGTGGACAAAAATGCCTGGTTGATGTCAGAGGTCAAAAGGAGAATGGGCAGACTGGTTTAGGAAGATAAAAAGGCAACAGTAAGTCAAATTACCACTCATTACAACCAAGGTATGCAGAATACCATCTCTGAACGCACAGCTCGTCAAACCTTGAAGCAGATGGGCTACAGCAGCAGAAGACCATACCTGGTGCCACTACTGTCAGCCAAGAGCAGGAAATGGAGGCTGCAAATCGCACAGCATCACCAAAATTGGGCAACAGAAGATTGGAAAAATATTGCCTGGTCTGAAGAGTCTTGACTTTAGCTGCAACATTCAGAAGGCAGGGTCAGAATTCGGCGTAAAGAACATGATAGTGTATGGATCCATCCTGCCTTGTATTAACGGTTAAGGCTGGTGGTGGCGGCGTAATGGTGTAGGGGATATTTTCTTGGCACACTTTGGGCCCCTTAGTACTACCCGAGCATCATTTAAATGCCACGGCCTACCTGAATATTGTTGCGGACTATGTCCGTCCCTCTAGGACTACAGTATACTCATCTTCTGATGGCTACTTCCAGCAGGATAATGCACCATGTCAAAAAAAGTTAAAATCATCTCAAATTGGTTTCTTTAACATGACAAGGAGTTCACTGTACTTCAATGGCCTCCACAGTCACCAGATCTCAATCCAATGGAGCACCTTTGGGATTTGGTGGGACGGGAGATTCGCATTATGGATGTGCAGCTGAAAAATCTGCAGCGTGATGCTATCAACTCGATATGGACCAAAATCTCTGAGGAATGTTTCCAACAGCTTGCAGAATCTATGCCATGAAGAATTAAAGGCAGTTCTGAAGGCAAAAGGGAGTACAACCTGATACTAGCAGGGTGTACCTAATAAAGTGGTTGATGAGTATATATAGTAGCTACTCACAAATGTTACTAAGCTCTTTCAACCCCCCTTCCCATACATCAAGCAATTCCAGACAATTTTGAAATGCAGAATGATACAGTTTTCCCTGATGCCTTCATCGCTGTCAGTCCTGGAGGCATTTGCTCTCTACATTGTAGCCACACTTTTTCTGGGGCTGGCTGCTACTAAACAGTTTGTGATCTCTTCTAATTACATGACTGCAGTGCAGCACAGAATAGACAATACTGGCAGAGGCGTGTAAAAACACCCCTTTAGAAAACACACAGAAATAAAAAGCAAAAAAATTGTAGGTTATATTTTTAAAGTTGCTTAGTAATAATTTTATATTAAAATAACGAATATAAAACCTTCTGTAATCTGTCTATATTTGAGTTATATTTTTTTTATTTACCCTTTGCACTGGACTGTTGGTACTTGTTTTGATTATTGCCATTTTGTATGTTGAAAACTTATTTTTTCAATAAAATTAGATTGTACATAAAATAGCCAAATATGTTTTATAACTACAGTTGTCCTTAGTTTTAAGGGAAAACTTGGTGGTTTTGACAGATACCTGTTCCCACTTCCGGCTCCCTCGCAGCCCTCTGGGACATTTTACAGGTCCCAGAAGACTGTGGCCCATTCATGCACCGAGCTTCGTCCATACGCAGTAGGAAACCGCTGTGAGGCCACAAGGCTTCACTGCTGGCTTCTGTTAGTTAAGATGGCGGACACAGCACCCGGCAGCTGATTGAATTAATGGCTTGTGGCATGGACACTGCTGGATCCTTGGACAAGTATGTGCCTTAATATTAAAAGTCAGCAGCTACAGTATATGTAGGTGCTGACTTAATATTTTTTGGCAGGGAGAACGGGGATCGGAACTCCACTTTAAAGTTGGCCATGTATATTTTTGGATTTTTTGTTTTGTTTTTTTGTGTGCGGCCAGTTGGTTGAATGAATAAAATACAAACTCCTCCATTCACACAAACGAGGTAGATGGTGGATTCGCGATGTGATGCCTGTTTATGTGTCCGTGCTATAGAAGCCAGTTATAGACTTGGGCAGTGGCCATCTTTTTATTTGCATAGATGGTGGATTCCCCCTTTCTGGGACATTACTCGTTTACGCAAGTACTTTTTCCAGGGAACCTGGGACAGTGTAATGGTGCTGGAAAAGCACTATTACTAAATCACAAGTCATGTCTGCAAAGTTCTGGGTTAATGTACAGGTATATCCAATTCCTGAATTTACTGTAAAAGTTAAGCTAAATGCACTCCTTGCAAGCCTCTATGTTGCTCAATGAGTTCACACACCACATAAGGATCAAAAGGGAGGCTTGACAGACTGAAGGGGGAATGGGAAACTTTTACCGCAATACTTTTACACTTCACAATACGTACAACTGGAGTCTAGAAAACAAGAAGCCAGAGACAGCAGCACCTATCCATCTGTAACCAAAGTATCAGTGGCACCAGTAGGCTTCCTATGATATAGAAGCACTGCCTTGAATGATTGCATCAGCGTCAACAGTTTTATACGATTACATCTAACATCTCTGCTTCATCCCATTCTACATTTCATACTACGTACCATATGGGGAGCTTGCTCCAAAGTCACTGGCAGCTTCGGTCATGTATTGACCCAATAATTCTCCATTGGTCACTCGAGAGGGGATTTTTCGGTCCAACTTCTCATACAAGAACTCTTCAACCCGTGCACCTACAGTACAGATTATATAACAAGTCAGCACAGATATTATTTTCAAGATTCTTCAAAATACAAACGAACATTAAAAAAAAAAAAAAAAAAAAAACATTAACCAGGGTTCTAGATATGCTGCACATTCTATTTGGAGTGAGATTTTTGAGGATTTTGCAAATGCAAACTGTCTCTATAGTTAAGGCATACTAAAGGGAACCCAAAAGCAAAGTTGCCAACTGTCCCAAATTTGCAGGGTCACTTTTTTTTTTTTTTTTTTACTGCTGTCCCGACACAACCTTGTCCCAGGCTGCGTCCCAGAATTCAAAGCTGCTCACGGACAGGCAGAGTGAGTGCTGTGTCATTTACATGATTGCTCGTGTCCAGTGCCACAACTGTCAGGGCTTCATGCCGCGGGTTTCTGCATGTGCCACTTCGGGGCACGCCGATTGTTTAACACAGTGATGGGGTGTGCTGCTGGGCCACACATGAAGGCAGACATGGAGGGGCAGATCCCTCCCCCATTCAGGCGCTCTTATGAGTATTTCGGGCTGAAACTCTGAGGCAAAGCCTGCAAGGCTTTGTCCACCAGTTGTATTTGTGGGTGGGAGAGGGTGTGGCCGGCCACGGAGAGGATTTCACCCAGCCTGCTTTCTTCTGCTGGAGGTATACTTGTGAGCCTCAGGCTGCACTGAAACAGAGCAACACGGAGGTAAGAACTAGTCTGTGGGTGGGATCTCTTTTTTCTCTTCTTTGTCATGTAGCAGTGTTCTGACAGTAAAACTGCACTGCCCAATTTCACGCAGTCGAAACAGTGTTACATGAAAACAGGAGGAGGAGATACAATCAGCTAACAGCAATTTTTTTTCAATATACATATATAAAAGTGCATCCAAATAAATACTCAAAAGTGCAATTCCTTATGTGTAAAAGTGCTTGATATATACACTCAAATCAATACATAAAAGTCCACAAAGTGCAAACGTCTTGTATGAAAAGTACTTCTTCACAAAATGTGCAATATATATAACTTGTCGTCTATGTGCAAATTAAAGTGCTTCAGCACTTCCAAGTACTGCTCCACTTCATCACTGAGCACCACTACCACAGCTGAAAACTCACCAGGAAGCAATCACCTTTTTACTAAAGTGTTGGTCAATATGCGTTTCTTTTTATATAGGTCCCCACTCTGGTGTACCACTTCTAGGGTCCCTCTTAATTATAGCCTTGCCAGGAGTATCATGCAATTAGGAGGGAGAAAGACTCCAATACTGAAAAACACCCTTTATTAAAATCCACATAACAAACATTAAAACCATTGGCTGTACCGCTCACATTTACTAGTGCCTTGTGCCCTGCACCCGGGTTCAAAACGCTTAATCTCGTAACTGGCCAGCCCTGCCTCTCACAGTCTGGGCAGCCTCCCAATGCAAGTGTACCTCACCATTTTTGGGTGTCACCGCCGGGACTCCTGAAAACGTCATCACAACAAAAATGTACATCGAGGCAAGCTACAGGAAGTGACAACATTGTGACTCGGCGGTGACACCTGGAAGTGGGAGGTACACTTGCACTGTGAGACGGCCTGGGAGGGAAGAAGCAGGGCTGGCCAGTTACAAGATTAAGCATTTAAACCCGGGTGCAGGGCGCAATGCACTAGCAAATGTGAGCGGTACAGCCAATGGTTGTAATGTTTGTTATGTGTGATTTTAATAAAGGGTATTTTACAGTATTGGAGTCTCTTTCTCCCTACTAATTGCATGATACTCCTGACAAGGCTATAATTAAGAGGAACCCTGGAAGTGGTACACCAGAGTGGGGACCTATATAAAATGAAGCGCATACTGACCAACTTAAGTGAGAAGGTCATGGCTGTCTGGTGAGTTTTCAACTGTGGTAGTGGTGAAATGGAGCATGTGGAGCAGTACTTGGAAGTTTTGAAGCTGTATGAAGCACTTTAATTTGCACATAGAAGACAAGTTATATACAGTCAGGTCCATAAATATTGGGACATCGACACAATTCTAACTTTTTTGGCTCTATACACCATCACAATGGATTTGAAATGAAACAAACAAGATGTGCTTTAACTGCAGACTGACAGCTTTATTTGAGGGTATTTACATCCAAATCAGGTGAACGGTGTAGGAATTACAACAGTTTGCATATGTGCCTCCCTCTTGTTAAGGGACCAAAAGTAATGGGACAATTGGCTTCTCAGCTGTTCCATGGCCAGGTGTGTGTTATTCCCTCATTATCCCAATTACAATGAGCAGATAAAAGGTCCAGAGTTCATTTCAAGTGTGCTATTTGTATTTGGAATCTGTTGCGGTCAACTCTCAAGATGAGATCCAAAGAGCTGTCACTATCAGTGAAGCAAGCCATCATTAGGCTGAAAAAACAAAACAAACCCATCAGAGAGATAGCAAAAACATTAGGCGTGGCCAAAACAACTGTTTGGAACATTCTTAAAAAGAAGGAACGCACCGGTGAGCTCAGCAACACCAAAAGACCCGGAAGACCACGGAAAACAACTGTGGTGGACGACCGAAGAATTCTTTCCCTGGTGAAGAAAACACCCTTCACAACCGTTGGCCAGATCAAGAACACTCTCCAGGAGGTAGGTGTATGTGTGTCAAAGTCAACAATCAAGAGAAGACTTCACCAGAGTGAATACAGAGGGTTCACCACAAGATGTAAACCATTGGTGAGCCTCAAAAACAGGAAGGCCAGATTAGAGTTTGCCAAACGACATCTAAAAAAGCCTTCACAGTTCTGGAACAACATCCTATGGACAGATGAGACCGAGATCAACTTGTACCAGAGTGATGGGAAGAGAAGAGTATGGAGAAGGAAAGGAACTGCTCATGATCCTAAGCATACCACCTCATCAGTGAAGCATGGTGGTGGTAGTGTCATGGCGTGGGCATGTATGGCTGCCAATGGAACTGGTTCTCTTGTATTTATTGATGATGTGACTGCTGACAAAAGCAGCAGGATGAATTCTGAAGTGTTTCGGGCAATATTATCTGCTCATATTCAGCCAAATGCTTCACAACTCATTGGACGCCGCTTCACAGTGCAGATGGACAATGACCCAAAGCATACTGCAAAAGCAACCAAAGAGTTTTTTAAGGGAAAGAAGTGGAATGTTATGCAATGGCCAAGTCAATCTCCTGACCTGAATCCGATTGAGCATGCATTTCACTTGCTGAAGACAAAACTGAAGGGAAAATGCCCCAAGAACAAGCAGGAACTGAAGACAGTTGCAGTAGAGGCCTGGCAGAGCATCACCAGGGATGAAACCCAACGTGGTGATGTCTATGCGTTCCAGACTTCAGGCTGTAATTGACTGCAAAGGATTTGCAACCAAGTATTAAAAAGTGAAAGTATGATTTATGATTATTATTCTGTCCCATTACTTTTGGTCCCTTAACAAATGGGAGGCACATATGCAAACTGTTGTAATTCGTACACCGTTCACCTGATTTGGATTTAAATACCCTCAAATTAAAGCTGACAGTCTGCAGTTAAAGCACATCTTGTTTGTTTCATTTCAAATCCATTGTGGTGGTGTATAGAGCCAAAAATGTTAGAATTGTGTCGCTGTCCCAATATTTATGGACCTGACTGTATATTGTGCATTTGTGAAGAAGCACTTTTCATAGAAGTAGTTTGCACTTTGTGGACTTTTATATACGGATTTGAGCGCATATATTAAGCACTTTTACACATAAGGAATTGCACATTATGAGTTTTTATTTGGATACACTTTATATATGTACAGTGCTCAGCATAAATTTGTACACCCCAACAGATTTGTCAGAAACCGTTTCCTTTCAGAATCAACATTTTCTATGGGACACTATACTGCAAAATACTCCCAATACAGGCCATTGATTGCAAACAAGATTTGTTAATTTACACACAAAAAAGTAATTTTTAGTAACAAATTCACTCAAGAACATGTTGCAAAAATGAATACACCCTAATGAAAGTCTTAATGCAGGCCATACATGGGTCAAATTTTAAACGACTTTTCTTTAGAAAATCGGAAATTTTGTGCGTTTTGTAATCCGATTGTACCACCATTGATTTCCAAATTCGACCAACCAAGCCTTTAAATTTCACCTCTTGTTGCTACAGAAAAGAATTTTCATGAAGAATTTTCTTTTCTTTCCAGGTCACAGCTCATGCTTTTTTCTTCTTCAACTACATTTCTCGCACAATTCTTCCTTCATTGATTAGACATTCGTTCGTTTTTCCAACAGCCCGATTACTCAAATTCGATGTCTGCCCGAAAATCGGACATTGCTGTGGTGGTGCAAAATTCGAATGAAAATTCTTAAAGAATTTCAAAAGAAAATTCTTTCCGAATTAAACCCATGTATGGCCGACTTTAGCAGCAAAGCTAAACTTAATGCAGGCCATAGATGGGTCGAAAATCGGCCGATTTTTTCGGCCGAAAATAAAATCGGCCGATTTTCGGATCGTTAGTGGGCGATTTGGTCGGCCGTTTTTCGGTATTTTGGCCGTATTTTTTTTTTCCGGTAAAGTTGGAAAAAAAAAAATCCGATTTTGCCGATCGGCCGGCCGATTTTCGCGGCAATTAGTGGGCAAATCGGCCGATTTTTTACCGATAAAAAATCTGCGCATGAGCAGTGACCTGCAAGAGGAAGACAAAAAGAAGAGGAAGACGATGAAGAAGAGGATGAAGAAGAAGAAGAGGAAGAAGAAGAGGATGAAGAAGAGGATGAGGATGAAGAAGAGGATGAGGATGAGGATGAAGATGAAGAAGAAGAAGAAGAAGATGAAGAAGAGGATGAGGATGAAGAAGAAGAAGAAGAGGATGATGAGGATGAAGAAGAAGAGGATGAGGATGAAGAAGAGGATGAGGATGAGGATGATGAAGAAGAGGATGAGGATGAAGAAGAGGATGAGGATGATGAAGAAGAAGAAGAAGAAGAGGAGGATGATGAAGAAGAAGAGGATGAGGATGAAGAAGAGGATGAGGAAGAAGAAGAGGATGAGGATGAAGAAGATGAAGAAGAGGATGAGGAAGAAGAAGAAGAAGAAAGAAGAGGATGAGGATGATAAAAGAAGAAGAGGATGAGGATGAAGAAGAGGATGAGGATGAAGAAGAGGATGAGGATGAAGAAGAGGATGAGGATGAGGATGAGGAGGGATGCAGAAGAAGAAGAAGAAGAGGATGATGAGGATGATGATGAAGAAGAATAGGATGAGGATGCAGAAGAAGAAGAAGAAGAGGATGAGGATGAGGATGAAGAAGAAGAAGAAGAAGAAGAAGAAGAGGATGAAGAAGAAGAAGAAGAGAAGAAGAAGAAGAGGATGAAGAAGAAGAAGAAGAAGAAGAGGGATGAGGATGAGGATGAAGAAGAAGAAGAAGAAGAAGAGGATGAGGATGAGGATGAAGAAGAAGAAGAAGAAGAAGAGGATGAGGGATGATGATATAAAGAAGAAGAGGATGAGGATGAAGAAGAGGATGAGGATGAAGAAGAATTCCAGTCCAGCATAAAGTGTCTCTGCAGAGAGCTCCGCTATTTCTGACAGTTCTCTGACAGTTCCTTGACATTTACAGCGGTTGAAACATTGTATCTATTTGTTTCCGAATAAAAACATCTGTATCCTAAATGGAAACAAATAGATACATTGTTGCAACTTCTATAAATGTCAAGGAACTGTCAGAGAACTGTCAAAGAAATAGCAGAGCTCTCTGCAGGGACACTTTTTGCGGGCTCTAGACGGGTAGAAAATCGGCCGATTTTTTTTACCATTGATGGTAACGTCGGCCACTTGAACAACCGATTTTTCGTTTTTTAAAAGAAAAATCTGCAGTTTTTCTCCCCATCTATGGCCTGCATTAGACAACAAAATCTTAATTAACAAGAATTCAACTACAGGTGAATCTAATTATTTATTAAACAGCTGTCCAGCAGACTTATAAAAGGTCGTTACTTAACCACTTGCACTCCAGAGGATTTACCCCCCTTCCTGATCAGGCCATTTATTGCAATACAGCGCTGCGTTACTTTAACGGACAATTTCTTGGTCATGCAACATTGCACATAAATGAAATTTATGTCCTTTTTTCCCCACACAAATAGAGCTTTCTTTTGGTGGTATTTGATCACCTGTGAGTTTTTAATTTTTTGCACTACAAACAAAAAGACAATTTTTTGAAATTTAAAAAAAAAAAATATATATATATATTTTTTACTTTTTGCTATAAAACATCCAGAAACAAAAAAAAAAAAAAAAAAAAAAAAGATTAAAAAAAATAAAATTTCTACATAAATTTAGGTCAAAATGTATTCTGCTGCATGTCATTCATGAAGGAAGCCTCTCCTAAAGCCCATGCACAAAAAAGCACCTAGAATTTGCCAGGGCCCATGCTGAAAAAGAAGACTACTGTGACTCTGTACTCTGGAGTGATGAGACCAAGATAAATGTTTTTGGACCTGTATGGCCTCGCAAAGGTGAGGAGCACAAAAAAAAATGCATGGTGCCAACAGTGAAACATGGTTGTGGCATTGTCCTTCTGTGGGGCTGCATGAGTGTGCTGGTGTACGGGAGCTGCATTTCATTGATGGGATCATGAATTCACAGATGTACTGCTCTATATTGAAAGAGAAGATGCCACCATTACTCCGTGCCCTTGGTCGTCGTGCACTTTTCCAACATGACAATGATCTAAGACACACATCTAAAAGGCCATTGTTGCATTTCTGAAGAACAACAGGGTGAAAATTATTCAGTTGCCAAGTATGTCTCCTGATTTGAACCCAGTCGAACACCTATGGGGAATTCTGAAGAGACAAGTTGAGCATCACTCTCCATCCAGCATCCAGGCTCTAAAAGAGGTCGTTCTTGAAGAATGGAAAAAGATAGGTGTTTCAACATGTCGCCAACTTGTTTATTCTATGTCTAGAAGACTTGGTGCTGTCCTTACAACTCATGGAAGTCATACAAAATACTAGATGGAGTAGTTTTTGTTGTGGTGTGTGTTCTTTTTGCATCAACTCATTTGAACAAAACTGAAGATTTTGTAATGTAAGTTATATCATTAACCTTACTTTCATGTAATGAGCTAAACAAATGTTCTATAAGCTCAGTTTTATCAAAATTGTGGAAATCGTTCTTGTATTCATTGAGATATTGATTAAAATCTTACTTTTCAAAAGAGATGTACTAATTTATGCTTTCCATTGTGTATTGGAAGTGTTGTATATTTTGGGTAATATATGGTTTGGCACAACATTGTGTGTAATACAACTGCCACAAAGAGTAGGGCGTCTTTGCCGTTTTCTAGCACAAGTGGTTTTTGTTTATGAGAGCAATTTGACTTTTATCTAAAAGGTTAGATAGAAGCAAAAAAGTGCTGTTAGCTAACAAAGGTGGTATCTCCTTCTTTCATGTAACACTTTCCTGACTGTGAGAAATTGGGCAGTGCAGTTTTAAACTCAATTTATCATAGTCACTGTTTGCTGGCTCCATCACTAAGGCCCCTTTCACGTGGCACGTCTGATCAGGTCCCCCTGTCAGTTTTTGAGGCGGATCTGACCAGATGGTCCATTCACCAAGCAAGTGTAAAACGGATCAGTGCACCAGAATAGGTAGATATGGGACAGCATCTTCCCTGCACCCCCTGTACTGTGCCCTACAGACACAGCTGTTCTGTGCTCTCCTGAACCCCTGTACTGTGCATTCCTGTCCCCATAGGTCACCTTCCTGACCCCCAACCACTGTCCTGCTGACCCCTCTTCACTGCCCTACTAATGCTCACATACTACGGACCTCTGGACACTGCCTGACATACTACAGACTTCTGCATACTAACCTACATACTACAGACCTCTGGAAGCTACCCTACATATCAATGACCTCTGTACACTGCCCTACATACTACTGACCCCTATACACTGCTCTACCTACTACTGACCCCCTGTATATTGTCTTACATACTACTGACCCCCTGTATACTGCCCTACATCCTACTGAACTCTGTACACTGCTGTATATACTACAAACCCCTGGACACTGCTCTACACACTACTGACCAACTGTACACTGCCCTACATACTACTGACCCCTGTACATTGCTCTATATACTATCCAACTCTTTACACTGCCATACATACTACTGATCTCTGTACACTACCCTACATATTACTGACCCCCTGTATACCGCTCTACATGCTACTCGCCTCTCTACACTGCCCTACATACTACTCCCCTCTCTACACTGCCCTACATACTACTCGCCTCTACATACTACTCTACACTGCCCTACATACTACTCGCCTCTCTACACTGCCCTACATACTACTCGCCTCTCTACATTGCCCTACATACTACTCGCCTCTCTACATTGCCCTACATACTACTCGTCTCTCTACACTGCCCTACATACTACTCGCCTCTCTACACTGCCCTACATATATACTCACCACTCTCCATATGACTTGTAAGGAACATATGTCTTTTTAACTGGCATCCAAATGCTGTATAATGCCTCCATAATAGACCATAATATTTAACTGGTCATTCTGGTCTAGTAACGTCTGTAGAATTCTTGTAGAATACTGCTTGCACGCATTAAACTTTCAGAAATTTAGCTTTTACACTTCGGTGTCTGGAGCTTAATTGCTCCCAGTCCTAGTGGGGAAAAATAATCGAGAACAAGTTTGGGCTACAGACAGGAATTGATCCTATCACTACTGACCCCCTGTACATTAGCCTACATAAGACTGACCTATCTACACTATCCTACATACTAATAACCCCTGTACACTACTCTACATCTTCCTGCATATACATTACTTTAACAAAGAAATGTTACATACAGTATGTAAAGAACTGTGTAAAATAAGGCCTTCAACAAATAAATGAAATGTTAGTGATATCACTCCTACCTAGCAGCACTAGGGTTGTTGGTTCCAATCCTAACCACGGCACTACATGCCTGGAGTTTGCATGTTCTCCCTTGCCTGCTTATGTTCCTTCAAGTACTCCGGTTTCCTTCCACACTCCAAAACACATGCTGGTAGGTAAATTTGCACTAGTATGTGTATATATGAATGGGAGTTAGGGAACTTAGATTGCTTCTTGGGGGCAGGGCCTGATGTGAATGTACAATATATATGTACAGCGCTGTGTAAATTGAGGGCGCTATAAGTACCTGTAATAAATATGCTTCTTGTAGAACAACGTTAAATGAATGCCCCACCACTATTTAAAGTACATGCCCCGCATATATCTGCTTGCTGGACACCGACTGTTAGGATTTTTGGTTTCTGCTTGTCTACTTACTAGGATTGGGCTGCAAGAGAACCTCTGTCTGGCGTAGGATCTTCTCGGTCCAGTTCTTTGTACTGTCAGCTCTTGTCAATAGGTTCTCAAAGTGGGCATCCAGCTCAGTCTTCTCAGCTTGGCCAAGCTTCTCCTCTGTAAACTGAAAAAAAAAAAAAAGTCTTATGAAAAAGCATAGTCAGACGGGTTTTCCATTAATTCCAGTCCCCATGGAATAGTCACTTAGGTTAGTTTTGTGTTATTTGGCGCACAAGGCAACAACTCCACATCTTGTTTAGTGGCTGTAAATTTTTACAAGACCAGTCTGCAATCTCCTTTATCCGCACAGGTTTGTCACTGGAAACAGATGAGAAGAAATACTGGCCATGGGCCAGTTTACTCAGATAACAGTTAAAACCTGTACTAAGAACAGGGGACTGCCATTGTTGATCTCTCTCTAGGGAATGTCTGCCTGCAGTCTCTGGCCTCAATAGCTTCTGAGTCATTTACCTGAAACCACGAGTATTAGAATATGGGGATTCCTGAAATGCATGTTTGCTCCAGGTGTTTCCCTCAAAGTATTAAGGGCACTGAATCAGCATAAGTCCACTTTAAAATCACTCGGGAACCATTTTTCAATGCTGTGATACTTTGACTAACAATTACTTGGTCATGCAAAACTGAACCCAAATTAACTGGATAACATTTTTTGAGACAGTTAGAGGTTTTCTTTGGTGATATTTACCGGTATTCACCACTGAGTTTTTAATTTTTTTCTATGACTGAACATTTTGAAAAAAATAATCTTTCATATATTATTCTGTTCCTTTTTTTTTTTTTTTTTTTTTTTAATAAAAAGTGCTCAAATAAGTGCCTATTATTTAAACTGTGTAAAAAGTCTACAAACTATGGTAAATATTTTTAAAATTTAAATCAGCCCTGATGTTCTGACTGCCTATTGCATTTAAGTCCATTCCTGTGTGAACCAGCCCTTAGGGTCAGTGAGTGACAGCCACAGCATTGAGGTGAGTATATGTGTTTGCTTTTTTTTAGCATTCCCAAAGTTCTTCTTTAGGAGTCTGAAAGTGGATGCAGCAACTGAATTAAGTGAAGGTAGTAGACACAAGCCACTGGCGAGCTAGTATATTAATTTTCTACAGGTCTCTAGAAATATAAAAAGTAAGTATGGCAGCTGCTAATGCTGCAATCCTGCTGAAAATATTAGGTGCCTGACTGTCTCTGGCTCCAATACTTTTTATTGCACTGTCCAATTATGAAGCAAATAAAGTCTGAATTCTTTATCTTCATGTGTATTCCAAGCACATGAAGATAAAAGCATAAAGACCAGGCAACTAGCATTTCAGAAGGTCAGCAATGGCAGCCCCCATATTCTCTCAATATAGACTTGGCATGTTTCAGCATTAAAGAAAGGTGGAACACCTGCAAAAGCACCCCAGCTAACATGGGAGGAGAATATGAAAAACACCATGCTAATCAAACATAGGACCCCAGTCCTACAGGAATGACATTTTTTCCTCTGTATGAATCATTTACAAATCCCAACCTACCCACACTAGTAACAGAAGTCACTTCTGAGTGATCTGATCCCTTAAACAGAAACATAAAATCGGGACTATGGACACCTGCCATAAATTCCAAACATCATGCTAGACCACCCCTGCTGGATCCCATTCAATGATGTGCTCGCCCCTAGACTCACAAGACTTTTGAAAGCTGGGCAGCGGTAGCACTTAGAGAAAGAAGCTTTGACAGGTGGTATACAAGAGTCAGTGGTCACAGTGCTAGGTAAGCTTTGGCAATCTGGAACCTGGGCTGTAGAGGACAAAGTCATCACATGGCCCATGCTCAAGAACTATTCTGGCTTCTCGCCTTCAATGATATACCCAAGTACAAACACTTACAGATAGTAAAGAAGGATCTCTTGACCAAACACGAATATTACAGAACAATGAAACAGTTAAGATATCAGGCTTCTCACCCAGACATGAGAAGTGCCCATAACTACATGAATGAAGCAGTGGGGTATAATGGTCGTGCGTACTGGGCACACGAATTGCTGTGTGTGTAGCAGCCATGTCTTGACAGAATTCAGCCATTACATGTATTTGTCATTTTCTTTTCTGTTTTATAACCAGAGATCCAGCAGCTCTGATTCTCCCCCCCCCCCCCCCCCCCCTCCAGAACATAGCTAAAGTTTTGGAGGCACCTTGAGGCAACAAGGGTCTGGGTCTTCAAAAGGACTGGTTATCTCCACTTAGGCCAGAGATCTGGCAGGGCTTGCTAGCAATCAGCTCCTACAGTTTATCACTTTCCAGAGGGGATTGAAAGTGACCTATCGTAAAACTATGAAAATCCTTCAGTCAATTAAAGCACTAGCAACACATAGCATTCCATAAAATGCCTACCCAGATAGCAGTCAGGCATGGGCAGGGCCAGGACAAGTCAGGGGCTGAAGGGACACTTGCCCTGGGCGCAGTCTTATAAGGCTGGAGGGGATGCCAGATTGCAAGCTGCACCCTGCACAGCTCCACCAAATCACTGCTGTCACAGTGGACTCGCTCTGCCTCTGCTACTACCAACATAGATTAGGGGCATCCAAAATGCCCATTCAGTGTCCCTGTAGCTACGGCCACAATCCTCAGCAACAGCACGTTTGTCAGTGAAAATATGCTGTCTGACAGCATCCACCCTCTCCGCCGCTGCCCACCCTGTCAGTGCTTGTGGTTGGTTGCTAGAACCATGTCACAGCAACCAATCAGGTGATTTCCCCACTCCCAGGACCTGGCCCTTAGAGCAGGAGCAAAAATAAAACTTCCTCCAAACCTGCCGGTCCCAGTGGCCTAGCTTCCTTGTGTATGTCCTGTAGCTGCATCATGAAGACCATGATGTAAGTAGGTTCTCTGGGGACCCTGACCTGAGGGGGTGACTCTGGGGACCTCATTTAAGGAGGGGAGAATCTGGGGACCCCAATTTAAGCGTAAGGAGGAGGGAGAGACTCTGGGGTCCCCGAGGTAAGAGGGAGAACTTTGGCATGTACACAGTCATGAGCAGACAGTATGTTAGCGTTCAGGTGGGCGGTCTGGGGCAGTAAAGACATGGCTCAAACACCTGGTTTTACTAACCCTTTGGCTGCACCTGGGAACAAAGCCTTACTTCTCAGAGCCACACAGGACTCCCTAGATAAATGCACCCCACAAAACCCCAGTGTCTTTCAGTTACACCATCAATACAGGGGCATTTCTTTCTACATCACTGTTAGTACACATTCTATCCTGCAAATAAAATATGGGGCTACTATTAAACTCATATGTTACATACAATACATTGCCAAAAGTATTAAGACACCACTCCAAATCACTGGATTCAGGTGATTGAATCACCGCCATGGCCACACGTGCAGACTGCTTCTACAAACATTTGTGAAAGAACAGGTAGCTCTCAGGAGCTCAGGAATTCAAGCGTGGCACCATGATAGGTTGCCACCTGTGCAATAATTCCATCCGCAAAATTTCCTTACTACTAAATATTCCACGGTCAACTGTTAGTGGCCTTCAGATTAGCACAACAACAGTGCGTAGAGAGCTTCATGGAATGGGGTTCTATGGCCAAGCAGCTGCATTCAAGCCTTACATCATCAAGTGCAATGCGAATCGGCGGATGCAGTGGTGTAAACCACGCCGCCACTGGAAGCTAGAGCAGTGGAGACATGTTCTCTGGAGTGAAGAATCACGCTTCTACCTGGCAATCCAATGGACGTGTCTGGGTTTGGGGGTTGCCAAAAGAACGGTACTTGCCTGGCTGCATTGTACCAAGTGTAAAGTTTGGTGGAGGGGGGATTATGGTGTGGGGTTGTTTTTCAGGGGTTGGGCTTGGCCCCTTAATTTTAGTGAAGAGAACTCTTAAGGCATCAATATACCAAGACATTTTGGACAATTTCATGCTCCTAACTTTGTGGGAACAGTTTGGGGATGGCCCCTCTTCCTGTTCCAAACATGACTGCACACCAGTGCACAAAGCAAGGTCCATAAAGACATGGTTAAGCGAGTTTGGGGTGTAGGAACTTGACTGTCCTGCACAAAGTCCTGACCTCAACCCAACAGAACACCTTTGGGATGAATTAGAGCGGACACTGCGAGCCAGGCCTTCTCATCCGACATCACAAATGCACTTCTGGAAGAATGGTCAAACAGTCTCATAGATACACTCCTAAACCTTGTGGAAAGGCTTCCCAGAATAGTTGAAGCTGTTATAGCTGGAAAGGGCGGGGCCAACTCAATATTGAACCCTATGAACTAAGACTGGGATGCCATTAAAATTCATGTGCGTGTAAAAGGCAGGCGTCCCAATACTTATAGTATATGCTTGAGTGAGACGTGCTGCACCCATCGTTATTTACCACACCCCACCTGCTGCTCCACCTGGTGGGGGGCCTGGCGCCACTTGACATCTCCGCCCTGGATGACCTTGTTCCAGCGCTGGACATTGGGCAACCTCTCAGAGACCTCTGCCCAATTCACAAAATCCACACACAATTGATAAAATCCAACAGGACCAAGACACATTAATATAATGTATATACAAAAGAAGAGATAGTAGTCTCCCCACCTCCTGGGTGACAGACCCATCCGAAATACTTTGCGTTTGGTATGCTTGGACACGAAATATAATGTTGGACAATAATCTTCCAGTTTCCAGAATGCAACCTGTACATAGTGGAAGATGTTATTAGTATAAAACTGTGTGCAAGGGAGGGCTACGGTACAGTCATAAACGTGGTAGCCTCCCAGCCACCACCTCTCAAACAGGATGATTGGTCAGATGGTCTTCTAACCAGATTTGAGAGACACTGTACTGTTTTTGCTTGATCAACTGGACTGAGCTAAAACCAAGGACTTTGCAAGTATTCTTCATTTTCAACTCCTTTTTAATTCTCTGTCGCTTTATTGTGTCTATTTCTTTATAACACTAATGAAAACAAAAGAAATCCCTGTCTCGAAGAGTGCTACTGTGTATGACAAATCTCTGAATACACCTGTCTGCAGTGACAGTGTGTGTACAGACATTTATTCTCCATATTTGTTCTTGCTAAGATTGGGAGTTTCCCCATCTCAATCAAAAGGTGATGGTGGTGAATTAAAGAGTTAATTGC